AAGTGCTGATGTGAGGACCACAGTGACCCCCGAGGGATGAGGATGCTCCATCCTCATTAACCACACATGGCACCGAAGCTTCTCCAGGAGGTGAGTGGGGAAGGCACTGACAGTGCAGGGACTTTGGGGCAGTGGTGGCAATGGCCCCATGGCACCTCTGAGGGGTTCAGACCGTGCTCCAGGATCCCATCCCATTGCCCTGTGGTGCACCATAGCTGAAGTGCCACCTCGTGGGGTCTGGACTGGGTTTCCAGCCCCACTTTGGCGGTGCCTGCTCATCCCTTGGCTGCTCTGAGCTTCACATCCGAGTGCTTGGGGTGAGCGAGGACAACGTGGTCACCAGCTGCTCCAGGAATAGCCACAACCCCAGAATACTGTTTTTCGCCAAAAAAGGCCTTTTTGCTGGGAACCGGCTGCCCTCTAGAGGGTCTGCTCTGGGTAGGGCACAGCACAGGGGCTTCTCAGCATCATAGTCCCCTCACTTCTGGGGTGGGTGCGAGGCAGGGCTGGGGGTCCTGCTCCCTGTGCTGGCACAGCAGCTTTGCCAGCCACCTTGGGCCATGGGTCCTCGAGGCAGCATCAGCGACCTCAGCTCCAGCCTGTGCACCAAGCTGGGGCCCTGGCCCTGCCCAGCACCCTGAGATGGCCATGGTGCTGCATGGACCATATCCTTACACATGAGATGCTCTGTGGAAACAACTGCCTGACAAGGAGATGTGGGAAGGGATCGTTTCCCCATTGGCTTTGTGAAGACCTTAGGATTGAACTGTTCTCAGCGTGGTGCTGAGGATATAGGTTGGCAGAGGAATGCCAGGCTGAGCTGTGCTGGGGACATGTCCCCAGCATCAGAGTGCCCATGTCCTTGTCTGCCCACTGCTTCAGCTGCTTTTGGTCCTGCTTCTCCAGCTTTCCCGTGGGTACCCCTGGATAAGAAATTAGCACTGAATTAAAAAGATCATCAGCCTCAGATTCACTCCCCTGTGCTCCAGGCACGTACACCCAGAGCAGCTCCCTGCAGCCCCTGTGCCTCCCTCCAGCCGAGCCCCTCTCCCTG